ATGAAAAACAAGTAAATATAATTATATATAAATATATGCAATAAATTAAATACATTTCTTTTACATTTATAGCACAGTAATGAGGCAGCAACATATGATAGATAAGACAGAACAAGAAAGGCTATTAACAATCTTTCATTGCGCAAAAGTATTATAACATGAAAGGCTCCAATACAGAGCAGCACTATGCGCTTACGCGCATCCCGTACACAAAATGATGCGCATGAAGCAACACGGAGTTACAGCACGCAGCGCTCCGCATAGAAAAATTCAAAGATACTGATGCATAGCGTATTAAAGGGGTCATATGATGCGATTTCAATTTTTCCTTTCTCTTTGAAGTGTAATAAAGAATTATTACACTTGGTGCATAAAGAAGATCTGTAAAGTTGCAAAGACTAAAGTCTCAAATCCAAAGAGATATTCTTTATAAAAGTTAAGAGTCAACCACGCCTACCTAAAACGGCTCGTTCTAACACGCCCCCACATGTCTACGTCAAAATGTGGGAAGATTTGCATAACGCCGCCCAAATGTTCAAGCAAAGAAAGAAGGCTAACTTTTATTCTCGCTGTAGTATTGTTGACACTGCAGCCATGTCGTGAAGACGCTGTGTGCTTCGTTGTGAAAGCGAAACTACTTTGTTTGGTCTTCCAAAAGAGGACGATATCCGCTCACTCAAGCCGGCCTCCGCTCTTTTTTATATTTAAAGAATTTGCCACTGATGATTCATACGTGAGTTTTGAGCAGTGTAGAGTAGCGCTTTTTGTTTGTCATTTCTCCGATCACAAATGCAGACATGGTTTTATGTTTACGCGGCGCGATGCAATGCATAAAAAGACAGTATACTTTATAATCCGTAATTATGTCCCCACTGGATGCAACAAATGCCTCGTTTATAATGGGTTTTAATGTTTTTGTGTGGTCGCTCCGGCCGGGACAAGACATCACAGTATGGTAAGGGCGTAACATTTCCGTCACACACCTGAGGTATTCGGCCAATCACAACGCACTGGATAGCTGGCCAATCAGAGCACACCTCGCTTTTCAGAACGATGAGCTTTGTAAAAATCGA